AAGAGGTTTATTTTTCTCCGTAATGGCGTAAATTGTTTAAACTCCAGACAAGGGACTAAAAGTCAATTATGGTATCAAGTATATATACGCATATGGCAAGTATGAGAATATTATACCGCATGGAACTACTAGAATAACGCTGCCAGAGTATTCTTTCCCTGCATCTGTGGAATTTTTTGTATTGCGTATTACCTCTATAGTACTGTTGCTTTCAGTCCTGCAGAATGTTTGACTGCCATAGCCATTACATAATGAGCATAATCAGTTTAGCATAGAGCATGCCTTAGAATCAACATGGATTTCTAATCTGTTGTGTTGTCCTAAGAATGCTTGCTCGTTGTGTAAGTGTAACAGTATAGTACCACACAATTTCACTTTTCTACTATTATTTTAGTGTGCTGTTTTACAGTGGACTACCGACACATGTAATAATATTTTATTTCATATCTCAATCCTGCAATATCACTGATAGTACGACAATTAAATATTGTCATCGCAGTAATATTTCTGCGATATACCAGAAGGAAATTGTGCATGGACACATCGTAGGCTATTCGTATGCTCGAGTTTATCATATAATGAATAACTCCTCCAAGACCAGGTTTCACGGCGGGGTATTGCATCGCCTTATGCTCTTAGTTGCCTTGGAGATATTTAGCAAGCGAGCAACGGCTCCATACAATTTAAACACCTTGTGATGCTTTCGCGGTAACGTGTGAGGAGTATCAGCTTCTGGTATATCGTTCGTGATGAGCGTGGCATTGCTCTAGCCGACAAAATGACGAGATACATTTGACAGTGCATTTGTTCAGATACCATGGTGTCGTGTCCTGCTTAAATGCCCCAAACCTTAGACAACTAAAAGCAGAGGGCGGTGATATACGCCGTAAAATCTGGTCTTGGAGGAGTCATTCGCTCTGGGACGAGATAATGCGATTACTGATTACGATATGCTGTTATAATGTATGGATAGACTGATCGAAGTATGATTCTTCATCACGCTAATTTAGGTATATTATGAATCTATATGGAGTAAACTCTTTATTGACTACTGGCAGGAAGAACCATAATTCTACGACCAGTAATTCGCGTAGCCTTTAACTTGGTATCTTCACCAACTTATGTTTTACAAATGTCCTAGATTACGGATGATACTGCGTCTTTCTACGACATGATTTTTATTGTAATGAAATATTGGACATATTTTTACAGTAATATTAATGTAACGTCCGGAATTAATCATTTGAAAACGATGATTATCTGCATACAGACTTAAATAATTCAAGTAATATTTTTGAAACTATATCAGCATTTGAAAAGTTTTAGCCTTTGTTTCTTGCCACTGCTTTCGTAGCATTATTGTTGCTATGGCAGTATTATGTCATTATGCTATTAGGATTCTATAATTTCGTCAAG